TGTGTGTGTGTGTGTGTGTATATATATATATATGTATATGTATATATACATATACATATATACATGTATATATGTATATGTATATATATATGTATACATATATATATATATATATATATATATATATATATATATATATATATATATATATATATATATATATATATATATATATATATATTTATTACCATATAATATTTGTATATAAAATTAATTAAGTTTTTAAACCCAACAAAATTATGACTGATGACTAGAAACTAGTTGATTCATGTATTATTTGTTAAAAGTATACTTTTTTATTCAGAAGTGGAAAAAATAAATCTTATTTCTAAGTTATTTTATTTATATAATATATATATATATATATATATATATATATATATATATATATATATATATATATATATATATATATATATATATATATATATATATTTATATATATTTTGCTTATTGCAATGTGTCATTTTGGCTGCAGAGACTTGTTAAACATAAGGAATGTTTATTAGCTTCAGTACATAAAATCTTATAGCCCACAGCCATAAAGGAGTGCTGCTACAAATCAAATCAAAATCAAATATATTTCGAAATAAGTTATAACATTTCAAGGAAATTTACAATAGTACAAGTACTAATATAAAGTAAATACCTCAATATACAACGTAACATTATAGTCAATGATGAAAGTAATAATAATAACTGTTATTAATAATACTAATAATAATAATAATAATAATAATAATAATAATAATAATAGCAATAATAGTAATAACAATAATAACAATAATAATAGTAATAAGAATAATAACAATAATAACAATAATAACAATAATAACAATGATTGTGATAAGAACAATAATAGCAACAACAACAACAAAAATAATAATTATAACAATAATAATAATAGTAACGAAATAATAACAATTATAATAAGAGAAGAATTTCATAAATAAAGACAATAACAGCAGCAACAAAAATTTAGTAAAGAGTGATGGCAACAACAATGATTTAGTACGAAGTAGAATAGTTGAGAAATAGAGAATTTTTGAATGAATAGAGATAAATATATAGATAAATAAAGAATGCCAACCCATTCATACTAAAATTAATAATATTAGTATAGATGATTTAATAATAAAGTTTAAAAATAGCAGATAGAAAATCAGAGAAATTAGATGTAGATAGATAAGTAGAGAATTTCAAAATGTTAAAAATATCAAATTAAAAACTGAAGGATTACGAATTGACATATCTAGTAAAGAATGTCAATATTAGTTGGTTGAAATATTTAATTGTATTTTTTTAAGAGATAATTAAAAAGCTTGATTTTTAATTATCTCTTAATTAAAAATCAAGCTTACGCCAATGCCTATATATGTATATATAGGCAGTGTCATATATATATATATATATATATATATATATATATATATATATATATATATATATATATATATATATATATATATATATATATATATATATATATATATATATATATATATATATATATATATATATATATATATATATTACTGATTTACAGGTTTTTAGAAATTTTAAGATTTAAACTACTTTAATGAATAAATACTTATCTTGTAGTTATATTTTATCATTTATTGTTAGAGCGCTTTACTTAGAATATTAACTTAGTTATTTCATAGCTTTTTATTTTTTATAAAAAGTTTTAAAATAACAAGGTAATAATCTTAATGATTTTTATCATTAGCTGTGATATTCTCTTTAGGGATTTTTATCAATAATAGTGATAATCTCTTTAGGGATTTCCTGTTTTTTGAACTTTTATAGATTTTCTATGGACTTTGAGTCAGGTGAATTCCATGCATAAGGCAAAACGCACACATTTTTTCAGCTAGGAATGCTGTAACCTTCTTAGCTTTATGGTGTGGTACCATGTCATGGATAAAAATGTCTTCTTTATTACCAGGGTACTGTTCTTGATCCTAGGACTATTTTCCATCGTGGGCGAGTTATCACAAACCACACCATTACACTCTCATTACAGGATGTTTAATTTTTTTCAAAACGCAATGGATGTTTAATTTTTTTCAAAAAAAAATTCCTGGTGGAAATTTTCTCTTAGGCGGCTTCAGACAAATAAGCTTTTGTCCACCAAAATTTGAAATGTTGACTTGTCAGAGAAGTCAACATTTCAAAATTTGGATTATAAAGCTATAATTTCTCATATTCTGGTGTTTTCTAACCCATTTCAGTTGCTTTTTTTTCATGGCTTCAATTAAATGTGGTTTTTTGGTTAGATAATGACCCATTAAATTCTCTTTAGCCTACTGTCCTTTTGGAGACATTGATTTCTTTTATTATTTATAATTGCACACTTTTTATTCTGTTTGTAAGACAGATGTTCCTGATTTTATGGTCGCAACATGAAGTAGTACTCTCGAGTCCTTAATAAAAGGGGATGTTTATTAATTTTTGGAAATATTTCCTAATTACCCCAAGCTTATTAAGACCCCCCTGTTTATTACTTTTTACTTGCGTAAAGAATAACCATATTAATTATGTTGGCTCAAAAGAGCTATAATTATACTAGTCTATAACAAAATAACACTATACATAAAGTATATAGAATATCATACAAAACATATATATTTATATATATTCTCCATATTTCATATTATCATAACATTCACCCTCCTCTTAAAAGTGTTCAGGTGTATTTATAAGTTGAGTTTTTCTGGTGCTTTAGAAATTCGTGAAGATCTACGAGGAGGCAGATTACTTTGCTCTATAGGATTCCCTCTGCTTTCTAGTTCCTCTTCGGAGACTAACGGAGTTTCATTGCTACCATTAGGGGTTAAGGGGTAGTTATCAATAGCTGTTATTTCTAAATTGTCATTTGATGTTTGTACTATAGGAGTTGTTCCGATAGGAGCCAGCTGTTTTGTAGACACTGTAGTCTCATGACCATTAGGAAATCTCACAATGGCATAATGAGGATTTGCTTCAATGAGCTGAGCCTCATTTACTGAATCTTCATATTTACTTTGCATTGCATTTCTTTTTATAAGTACAGGTCCAGGGTTAACAAGCCATGAAGGAATTGAAGACCCAGATGATGATCTTCTTTAAAAATTAAAAAAACGTTCATGTGGACTACAATTAGTAGAAGTACATAATAGAGATCTTGTAGCATGAAGTGCATCAGGCAAAACTCTTTTCCATGATGATATAGGCAGATTTCGAGATTACAGAGTAAGTAATATCGCCTTCCAAATAATTCCATTGTATCTTTCAACTTGCCCATTTCCAGTCGGATTGTAAGGGGTTGTTCTACTAGTTGCGATCCCTTTTGATAAGAACTAGTGCTTTAATTCAGAAGACATTAATGAGGATCCACGATCCGAATGAACATAGCTAGGCATACCAAACATTGAAAAAAGATCAGCTAAACAGTTTATTATTGTCTGAGTTGTCATATCTTTCACAGGATAAACAAATGGAAAACGTGAGTATTCGTCTACAATTGTTAGCATATACTGTTCAGGGGTTGAAGAAGGTAATGGGCCTTTGAAGTCAATAGATATACGTTCGAATGGCTGAGTCGCCTTAATCAGGTGCACATCATTTGGGCGGTAGTACTTGGGTTTTATTTCTCTACATATTCTACAATCCCTACATATTTGTTTTACATCTTCTACTGAATAAGGGAGGTTTCTTGATCGAATAAAATGATGGAAGCGAGTAACACCAAGATGGCAAAGTGCAGCATGCAAATTATATAAAGATTCTGAACTTATTGCTGCACATTTAACTCGAGTAAATGTATCTGGACCACTATTACATTGGCCAGGACGATAATGGATATCATAAGAATATGGAGACAAAGCTATTCTCCAACGCATTATTTTATCATTCTTTATTTTACTGCTTGATTTATAATCATACATATACGCCACAGATCGTTGGTCAGTGATGAGAATGAAATGTCGACCCAAAAGAAAATGACGCCAATGATTTATGGCTTCAACTATCGCTTGAGCTTCTTTCTCCACTGATGAATAGTATTGTTCACTCCCTTGAAGGGTACGTGAATGGAAGGCAACAGGTCTTCCATCCTGATTAAGTGTGGCGGGTATGGCAAAATCAGAAGCATCAGTCTCCACAGTAAAAGGTATATTCTCATCAATGGTTTGCATGGAAGAGTGAACAAGTTCATTTTTTAATGTTTCAAATGCTGATATTTGCTGCTGATTGAGTGGAAATTGAGTAACAGAGTTCAAAGGTCTAATTTTATCTGAAAACTTTCTTATCCATTTTGCATAGTACGAAAACATTCCAATAATTCGCTGTAAAGACTTTGCATTATCAGGTGGGGGTAACTTGATGAGAGGAGCAAGTCTCTGAGGATCTGGTTTTAAAGAGCCATACGATATACAGTAACCTAAAAAATCTGAAGTCTTAGTTGAAAATACACACTTCTCTTCATTAAATGTAATTCCAGCATCAATGGCAGCTAATCTGAACTTAAGTAGATTTTCATCATGTTCTTTCTGACTATTACCGCATATTGTAATGTTATCAATGAAAGGAAAGCAGTCAGTTAGTTTATATTTTCTAACAAAGTCATCTATTTTGCGTTGAAAGCATGCAGATCTATTGGTAACTCCACAACTTATTGTCAGCTTCAAAAGCAGTATATGGTCGATCTTTTTTTGATTAAGGGATTTGGTAGTATGCTGAGCGAAGGTCGAGAGTACTATAAATTTTGTATTTAGAAATTATATTCACAATCGTTTCAATCTTAGGTAGAGGATATGCATCTAATTGAGTATATTTATTAAGTAATCAACATTAGTATATTTAGAGTAATCAACAACCATGCGACGTTTAGTCTTTTCATTTATTACTAAGATCTGGGCACGCCAAGGTGAATTACTAGGCTCTATTATTGCTGCTTGAGTCAGGCAATGGATTTCAGATTTAATAAATTCTTTATCTCTTTGAGAATAATTTCTAGA